TGTCCTTGCCTGCCCCTCTCAGTTGTCTCTTCCTCCTTCGGACCCCGTCAGTCCGCCTCTGGTCTGTCCTCTTGCTCCCTTCCTTCTATCCTTACTAAGTTTACCCATGCTCCCTAACCCTGATTTTGCCGACCCTGCTCCTGATCCTGAGATTCTTTAATAAACTGTGTTCTTCTATACTTTTATTTATTTCTTGTTCTCTGTTACTGTCCTTTCTCTTTGGCAATGTCTATTCTTCAGTGGAATATTCGTGGATTTTATGCCAACTTCCATGAACTCCAACTACTAATTACACAGTTTTCAACGCTTTGTGTTTGTCTCCAGGAACCAATGCTTGGTGCTCGTCCTGGTCACTTTCGCGGTTATTCTTTTCTTTCTCCCCCCCCCCAGCTCTTGCTGGGGCCCATAACTCTACTGCTCTCTTAATTCGATCTGATACTCCCTTTGTCCCCCCTACTTCTTCCGTCACCTATCCATTGTTCTGCTGCCCGTGTTTTTGTGCGTAAATGGTATACAGTCTATTCCATTTATCTCTCTCCCCAAATGTCCCGCTTTCCCTTACTGATCTTAAGCACCTCCTGGACTCCTTGCCAGAGCCGGTGCTCCTTTTGTGTGATTTCAACTGTCGACATTCCCTCTGGGGTGATGTCCTGACAAACACCCGAGGCCGTCTTCTCGAACCGTTCGTCTTCGCTTCTTCTCTATCTCTTCTAAATTTTGGTGAGCCTACTCATGTGGACTCCCGAACTCGCACCCTTTCCTGTCTTGATCTTTCTCTCTGCTCGTCGTCCCTTTACTTAGATTTCACGTGGCAGGTTCTTGATGACCTCCATAATAGTGATCATTTCCCTATCCTCGTTTCATTTTTTCTCTTTCCACCCTCCTCTATCCTTCCCTAGGTGGCAGATTGCCAAGGCTGACTGAAGCTTATTTACCCTTCATGCTACTCTCTCTGACCTCTCCTCTCTGCCTCTTCCTCGTGCCCTCCTTTTTTATGACACTGTCTTCAACGCTGCCCTCCGCTCTATTCCTCGCTTTTCTTCCCCGGGCACACGGAAGTGCGTTCCCTGGTGGAATGCGGATTGTGCTCGGGCTGTCCGCTGTAAGCGTGCAGCCTGGAAGAAACACCGCCGCCAGCAGACGGCTGATTCTTTTATTTTGTTTTGGAAGGCAAGTGAGGTGGCTCGTAGGACCATCCGTACAGCTAAACGTGAGAGTTGGAAATCTTATGTTTCCTCCATTACGTCCGATACTCCTCTGCCACAGATCTGGAAGAAGATCCGCAAGATTGCTGGCAAATTCGTTCCAGATGTCTCGCCGGTTTTCCACCTCTGTGGTACTCTTGTGGCGGATCCAGTGAAGGTCGCGAGCGAACTGGGTTCCCATGTTTCTTCTGTTAGCTCTGGTTCTCATCTTCCTCAATCCTTCCTTCTTCGTAAGCCTGTTCTTGAATCTCTTCCTTTAGATTTCCGCACTCATCTCCGCCTTCCCTATAACGGTCCTTTCGCTCATTATGAACTTAAGTCTGCCCTGGCCCTCTGCGGATCTATGGCGGCGGGCTCGGATGACGTTCATTATGAGATGCTTCGCCATCTCCCTCCGTGCACGTCTCAGTATTTACTTAGTCTGAATAACCAGGTCTGGGAGTCTTCGTCCGTCCCTGAGGACTGGCTCGATGCCGTTGTACTCCCTATTCGCAAACCAGGGTCTCTAGGTACGTCCCCTAAGGACTTCCGCCCTATTGCTCTCATGAGTTGTGTTTGCAAGCTGTCTGAGCGTATGATAAATGTCCGTCTGATATGGTTCTTGGAACACCATCACCACCTCTCTCCTTCTCAGTTTTGTTTTCGCAAGTGCCGCAGCACGACTGATGTCCTAGTGAACTTTAAGGTCTATATTCGTACTGCATTTGCTGCGAAGACCTCCATTGTTGCTGTCCTTTTTGACCTGGAAAAGGCTTATGACACAACTTGGAGATACGATATTCTGTCCCAACTTCGTTGTTTTGGCCTTCGTGGTAATCTCCCTCTCTTCCTTCAAAGCTTCCTCTCTCGTCGTAACTTTCGAGTCAGGCTTGCTTCCACTCTCTCTCTCACTTTTCGGCAAAAGGTGTGCACCAAGGTAGCGTTCTTAGTACTACTCTTTCTGATTGCCCTCAATGGTCTTCTTTCCTCCCTTCCTTCTGATATCTTCTCCGCTCTTTATGTTGACGATCTTACTCTTTGCTGTCAGGGTGAGGATTCGCCTCTCCGTCAACGGCGGCTTCAACTTGCGATTGATGCCGTGTCATCTTGGACCACCAATCATGGCTTTAAGTTCTCTACTACTAAGGTTTGTGCCATGACTTTTACTCGAAAGCGGATCGTTCTTCGTCCCTCTTTGTCACTTTATGGTCATCCCCTTGAGTACAAAGATTCCACGAAGCTTTTGGGGTTATTCTTTTACACTCGTTTGTCTTTGTCGCCCCATGTCTCTTACCTCCTTGTTGAATGCTATAAGACCCTTAATCTACTTAAGGTTTTGTCCCATACTTCTTGGGGAGCGGATAGACGCACGCTCCTCTATTTGCATTCCTCTGTCGTCCTGTCTAAACTCGATTATGGTTGCCCTGCATACTCTTCTGCTTCTCCTTCTACTCGTCGCCGTCTTGATCCTCTGCACCATACTGGGTTGCACCTCAGCTCTGGTGCTTTTTGTTCAACTCCTACCCTCAGCTTGTACGCTGACACTGGCTTTCTGTCTCTCCAGGACCGCCGTGATTGCTACAGTCTTTGCTATCTTGCACGATCCTTACAGCATCCTCACTCTCGTCTTTATCGTGCTTTGACTTTTACCCCTCCTGTAATTCCTGTTCCTCTTCACCTCCTTCCTCTTTCTGTCCGTTTGTCTTGCTTACAAGATTCTCTTTCAGTTCGTATTACTAATGTTTCTCCTCGTATTGTTCCATCCTTGCCCCCGTGGAGGGTCCCCCTTCCTAAATTTTGTACTTCTCTGACCCGCATCACTAAAGCTTTTACCCCTCCTACAGTTCTGAAACGCCTCTTCCTTGAGCACTTCTCTTCTCACTCCCACTCTGTTCCCATCTTCACCGATGGGTCAAAGTCTGCTGACGGTGTGGGCTACTCTGTTGTTTTTCCTGACCACACTTATATGTGTCGCCTTCCTCCAGAGGCTAGCATCTTCACAGCAGAACTCTTTGATATTCTCTATGCTCTTTGTCTCCTGCTTTCCCGGTGTCAATCCCCCTCGTGGTGGTAGTTGACTCTCGTAGTGCCCTCATGGCTTTAGGGTCCTTTAACCCGGTCCACTCGGTGGTCATCGAGATTCAACATTGGCTGTTTCTTATCTCCAGTAAATTTAAGTCGGTTGCGTTTTGCTGGGTTCCCAGCCATGTTGGTGTCTCTTTAAGTGAGTGTGCGGATGCTGCCGCTAAGGACGCTATCCGCACTTGTCCCATCTCCCATAAAGGTATTCCTTATTCCGACTTTTATCCAGTTACTCATGCCTCATCCTTGCCTGCTGGCAGAGTTGTTGGTCTTCTGTTATTGGTAACAAACTGCATACTCTTAAGAGTTGTGTGTCCCAGTGGCCTTCCTCCTGCCACCATAACCGGCGATGGGAAACGGCTCCAACGTACCTAGCCGTACGTGGCTAGGTTACGTACTGGCTATACCTGTTTAACTCCCGGTCACTTGATGGAGCGCCGCCCTGCTCCTTATTGTCCAAATTACATTGTCCTGCAATGCAAAAACTACGGTCGTGCATATCCTTGTTGAATATCCTGACTTCTAGGACGAGCGTGTGTCTTGTTTTCCGACCGTCCCCCACGGTCGCTTGTCCCTCGATAGAATTCTTGGCGACTCGGATACTTTTGATATCGTTCGCCTTATGCGTTTTTGTTCTCGTATTGGCATCCTTGGTGATATTTAGCGCCCTCTGATTATCCCGCAAATTTGATGGTGCTACATAGCCTTCCCGGTTTGGTGCCTTCTATTGATAATTACTTACTTTTTATTATGTTTAGGCAATTCAGAATCTGTAAGATAATTGTTACCCATATTGAAAGAATCGTATTGTATTAGACACGAGTTAAAAACGTAGTTTCTTGTGAGGGCGCATTCGTCATTGCCCCTCAATCAACAGCAATAGTTTCTGGTGATTTAATTGTCACAACAATATTTAGAATATAATAAGTGTCAATTATAGTTATGTTTACCTTACATGGGGCAGTCTACCCCCCCCCCTCTCCACTTCACGCCCACTCCCCTCCACCCTATCCCCCCTTCACCCCCTAAGGATTGATGCCTGAAACTAAGCATCAAACATATACAAATACTTAAAGCCGGTGTCTGGTAGACCAAACTTCAAGGGAACATAAGGCCAGTAACTTTGTCCATCACCTGGCCTTATTCAGTAAGAGATGTACTGTTCTGGGTCATTCATCATAACTATGCAATTCATCATATATGAGTGTAGTACTGCTTGGTCCGGCCGTCCATTGTCATGAGGTTAATTAAAATTTTATAAAATACTACCTAAATTCTCCCACGCCTTCGACCCGGTAGCATAAAGTCATGGGTCTTGCCTAAATACCAAACAGTCTTAAGCATATGTTCGTCATAGATGCGTCGATAGCCGATAACAGAGACTCGTTCATCAGTTTGGACTGCTTTGTAACCAAAAAAGTACCTTAACATGAATTGTTCATTAATATATCGTTTACTGAGTTTCAAGTGTTGGTCTGTTGCCTCTTATTTGTGCCTATAGTGGGTGGATGAAGCACTTACACTGCAGGGCTAAACATGCTGAATTAACGTTGAATCGAAATTGATTCAACTTAGAATCAACGTAGTTTGTCCAACATTGAGTAGGAGCTGCCTCGTATTGACCAATAGGCCTTCTGCAGTTACCTTTATTCTTATGTTCTTAAGTTCATTACTGTGTCCGACATTCCTGTGTCCAACATTCCTTTGATCAACATTCCTGTGACCAACATTCCCATGTCCAACATTCCTGTGTCCAACATTCCTGTGTCCAACATTCCCATGTCCAACATTCCTGTGTCCAACATTCCTGTGACCAACATTCCTGTGTCCAACATTCCCATGTCCAACATTCCTGTGTCCAACATTCCTGTGACCAACATTCCTGTGTCCAACATTCCTGTGTCCAACATTCCCATGTCCAACATTCCTGTGTCCAACATTCCCATGTCCAACATTCCTGTGTCCAACATTCCTGTGACCAACATTCCTGTGTCCAACATTCCTGTGTCCAACATTCCTGTGTCCAACATTCCTGTGACCAACATTCCTGTGACCAACATTCCTGTGACCAACATTCCCGTGTCCAACATTCCTGTGTCCAACATTCCTGTGTCCAACATTCTTGTGACCAACAGTCCCGTGTCCTACATTCTTGTGACCAACATTCCCGTGTCCAACATTCCTGTGTCCAACATTCCCGTGTCCAACATTCTTGTGACCAACATTCCCGTGTCCAACATTCTTGTGACCAACATTCCCGTGTCCAACATTCCTGTGTCCAACATTCCTGTGTCCAACATTCCCGTGTCCAACATTCCTGTGTCCAACATTCCTGTGACCAACATTCCCGTGTCCAACATTCTTGTGACCAACATTCCTGTGTCCAACATTCCTGTGTCCAACATTCCCGTGTCCAACATTCCTGTGTCCAACATTCTTGTGACCAACATTCCCGTGTCCAACATTCCCGTGACCAACATTCCCGTGACCAACATTCCCGTGACCAACATTCCCGTGACCAACATTCCTGTGTCCAACATTCCCGTGTCCAACATTCTTGTGACCAACATTCCCGTGTCCAACATTCCCGTGTCCAACATTCCCGTGTCCAACATTCCTGTGACCAACATTCCTGTGACCAACATTCCTGTGTCCAACATTCCTGTGACCAACATTCCCGTGTCCAACATTCTTGTGACCAACATTCCCGTGTCCAACATTCTTGTGACCAACATTCCCGTGTCCAACATTCTTGTGACCAACATTCCCGTGTCCAACATTCCCGTGTCCAACATTCCCGTGTCCAACATTCTTGTGACCAACATTCCCGTGTCCAACATTCCTGTGTCCAACATTCCTGTGTCCAACATTCCTGTGTCCAACATTCTTGTGACCAACATTCCCGTGTCCAACATTCCTGTGTCCAACATTCCTGTGTCCAACATTCCTGTGTCCAACATTCTTGTGACCAACATTCCCGTGTCCAACATTCTTGTGACCAACATTCCCGTGTCCAACATTCTTGTGACCAACATTCCCGTGTCCAACATTCTTGTGACCAACATTCCCGTGTCCAACATTCTTGTGACCAACATTCCCGTGTCCAACATTCTTGTGACCAACATTCCCGTGTCAAACATTCTTGTGACCACAATATACAAGAGGAACGCCAAATTAACGAAGGATATTCAAACTTTTCAAGAATATTTCTTAGCTTTCTATGATCGAATCGCTTCTTGATAAATGCTTCACCCACGAGTACAAATGCAACAAATTCCCAACAGAGCCTAAACATCCGATCTATGCCTAATTATGCATACAATTCTCATATCGTTTAAGTTACATTTGAGAAAAAAGATAATTTCAATGTCCAATGCGTTAAAATTAAAATAATATTTTGCCTATAATACTTCGAATAATTCCAACTCATTATTTTTTTTATTTTCTGTCATAATAATGTTAAATGTTAACCACAACTAGCTATATCTGTGTGAATTAAAAAGTCAAGAAAATGTTGGCCAGCTTGAGTTATTTGGCAACTTTTAAGAGTGGTGGTACCGGCCCCAATTGTTTCATACGTCAGCAGTTGTCGACTGGCTGTGTTTGTGGGTGGACGTGTGTGTAGTCCTGCTCCTTGATGACACAAACTAGCTCTTTTTTTTTTAATTAAGGTATTGTTATCATGGCAGTGTTTCAACCACAATTATTATAAGTCGTCTAAATATTTCATGTGAAGCAATTGATTTCAGATATTTTAATTAGCTGGCATTTTTGTGGGATTTTGTTCAGAGATAATAATGTACCTGGACGGAGTTCTGGGAGTTGTTCTACTCCCCAAGCCCAGCCCAAGGACAGTCTTGACTTGAGAGCTTGATCTAACATACTCTTGGAGAGGCCCGCATGTGGAGCCAAAAGTTCATTGTTCTTCTCCACTCGTTTGCATTCAGAGCAAAGAATAAGCACTATTCTTTGATCTCGACTCCCCACCCCCACCCACCCCGAATACACAAAGTGTAGACGACCTTGTTTATTTAGATTTATCCGTAAAGCTACACTCCCACAGTGTTCTCATCGTTCACGAACGAACCATATTGTATATCTTTGTTTTATTTATTCATTACATATATGTATTATGCTAGGAAAAGATGAAAGAGTGGGTCTTGCATCGGATGAATACAACGGTCAACCTTCCCCAGTCCCCGATAGACCCCCTTCCCCGATAGACCCCCTTCCCCGATAGACCCCCTTCCCCGATAGACCCCCTTCCCCGATAGACCCCCGTCCCCGATAGACCCCCGTCCCCGATAGACCCCCGTCCCCGATAGACCCCGTCCCCGATAGACCCCCGTCCCCGATAGACCCCCGTCCCCAATAGACCCCCTTCCCCGATAGACCCCCTTCCCCGATAGACCCCCTTCCCCGATAGACCCCCTTCCCCGATAGACCCCCTTCCCCAGTCCCCGATAGACCCCCTTCCCCAGTCCCCGATAGACCCCCCTCCCCGATAGACCCCCCAAGTCCCCGATTGTAACCCCCACCCGCGCCCTGCATGTCCTCCAGTTACCCCACGTGTCCCCTCCCCCCCCCCGTCAGTTACCCCACGTGTCCCCCCCCCCGTCAGTTACCCCACGTGTCCCCCCCCCCCCGTCAGTTACCCCACGTGTCCCCTTCCCCCCGTCAGTTACCCCACGTGTCCCCCTCCCCCCGTCAGTTACCCCACGTGTCCCCCTCTCCCCGTCAGTTACCCCACGTGTCCCCCCCCCGTCAGTTACCCCACGTGCCCACCCTGTCAGTTACCCCACGTCCCCCCCCCCCCCCCCGTCAGTTACCCCACGTGTCCCCCTCCCCCCGTCAGTTACCCCACGTGTCCCCCTCCCCCCGTCAGTTACCCCACGTGTCCCCCCCCCCGTCAGTTACCCCACGTGTCCCCCTCCCCCCGTCAGTTACCCCACGTGTCCCCCCCCCGTCAGTTACCCCACGTGACCCCCCCCCCGTCAGTTACCCCACGTGTCCCCCCCCGGTCAGTTACCCCACGTGTCCCCCCCCCGTCAGTTACCCCACGTGACACCCCCCCGTCAGTTACCCCACGTGTCCCCCCCCGTCAGTTACCCCACGTGACCCCCCCCCGTCAGTTACCCCACGTGACCCCCCCCCCCGTCAGTTACCCCACGTTACCCCCCCCCCCCGTCAGTTACCCCACGTGACCCCCCCCCCGTCAGTTACCCCACGTGACCCCCCCCCCCCGTCAGTTACCCCACGTGCCCCCCCCGTCAGTTACCCCACGTGACCCCCCCCCCCCGTCAGTTACCCCACGTGAACCCCCCCCCCGTCTGTTACCCCACGTGTCCCCCCCCCCCGTCAGTTACCCCACGTGACCCCCCCCCCCCGTCAGTTACCCCACGTGACCCCCCCCCCGTCAGTTACCCCACGTGACCCCCCCCCCGTCAGTTACCCCACGTGCCCCCCCCGTCAGTTACCCCACGTGTCCCCCCCCCCCCGTCAGTTACCCCACGTGACCCCCCCCCGTCAGTTACCCCACGTGACCCCCCCCCCGTCAGTTACCCCACGTGACCCCCCCCCCCGTCAGTTACCCCACGTGTCCCCCCCCCCCGTCAGTTACCTCACGTGTCCCCCTCCCCCCGTCAGTTACCTCACGTGTCCCCCTCCCCCCGTCAGTTACCCCACGTGTCCCCCTCCCCCCGTCAGTTACCCCACGTGTCCCCCCCCCGTCAGTTACCTCACGTGTCCCCCTCCCCCCGTCAGTTACCTCACGTGTCCCCCCCCCGTCAGTTACCTCACGTGTCCCCCCCCCCGTCAGTTACCTCACGTGTCCCCCCCCCCGTCAGTTACCTCACGTGTCCCCCTCCCCCCGTCAGTTACCCCACGTGTCCCCCCCCCGTCAGTTACCCCACGTGTCCCCCCCCCCGTCAGTTACCTCACGTGTCCCCCTCCCCCCGTCAGTTACCTCACGTGTCCCCCCCCCCCCGTCAGTTACCTCACGTGTCCCCCCCCCGTCAGTTACCCCACGTGGCCCCCCCCCCGTCAGTTACCTCACGTGTCCCCCTCCCCCCCCCCGTCAGTTACCTCACGTGTCCCCCCCCCGTCAGTTACCTCACGTGTCCCCCCCCCCCGTCAGTTACCTCACGTGTCCCCCCCCCCGTCAGTTACCCCACGTGGCCCCCCCCCGTCAGTTACCTCACGTGTCCCCCCCCCCCCGTCAGTTACCTCACGTGTCCCCCCCCCGTCAGTTACCTCACGTGTCCCCCCCCGTCAGTTACCTCACGTGTCCCCCCCCCGTCAGTTACCTCACGTGTCCCCCCCGTCAGTTACCCCACGTGGCCCCCCCCCGTCAGTTACCACACGTGTCCCCCCCCCCGTCAGTTACCACACGTGCCCCCCCCCGTCAGTTACCACACGTGTCCCCCCCCCCGTCAGTTACCCCACGTGTCCCCCCCCCGTCAGTTGCCCCACGTCCCCCCCCCCGTCAGTTACCACACGTGTCCCCCCCCCCGTCAGTTACCCCACGTGTCCCCCCCCTCCCCCGTCAGTTACCCCACGTGTCCCCCCCCCCCCCGTCTGTTACCCCACGTGTCCCCATCTGTGATTCCTCTTTCTAGATCTATTAACTTCATTCTCAAGTCGACGTCGTCACATGGTGACATCAATGTACAATTTATGATTAAAGACGTTCGTGTGTACACTGTTAACGTGTTTCTCATTAATATGGTTACACAGTCGTAACACGTTACAACGTTAAATGGGTTTTGTGTCTGGTCTCTAATCCAGACTGAATCCTCTCCTATGAGGATATCTTTGAGAAGTTGACCATCTTCTCTTTCATTTCAGATGCAACGATTGGGTTTCGAGTTAGTTCTGGTGGTGGTCATTGGTGTGGTTGGGACACCCACTCCTGCACCACCATCCGACCCTCGCTCGGCCCTCGGATCTCCCTCGGCCGTCAGGTCTCCCTCGGCAGTCAGGTCTCCCTCGGCCGTCAGGTCTCCCTCGGCCGTCAGGTCTCCCTCGGCCGTCAGGTCTCCCTCGGCCGTCAGGTCTCCCTCGGCCGTCAGGTCTCCTTGGGACCTCGGGTCTCCCTCGGCCGGGGCCCCACCGCAAAGTTCCGCGCCTGCTCCTACACCGGCTGGGTAAGGGTTCATAAATTATTCTGCCTCTTCAAACAATTCAACAAATTCGCTAAATTTAACTACTCGTAAATAATATCTTTGCAAATATAAGACCAAAGTGAACATTTTTGTTATATGGCCATGTGTGTGTCTTTTTATTGCATTAATTACTAAGTTTAGAGTGCTTTTTGAAACTTTTAAGTGACTCCAGAATTCCGAATGACAATATAGTCGGATCATGAATGACAACATGCATATGTTTCTTAAAAACCCTTATTAGCAGTTCCTTAGTCATAATTAAATATCTCGACCGAACTTGGTATTTCATATTAACACTAATCTATAAACCCATTTTAGTGAGGGGTTGGGTGGGGGGGGGTTTGAAGAGTAGTGAGGGGTTGGGGGGTGTGTGAAGAGTAGTGACGGGTTGGGGGTGTGTGAAGGGTAGTGACGGGTTGGGGTGTGTGTGTGAAGAGTAGTGAGGGGTTGGGGGGGGGGGTGTGAAGAGTAGTGAGGGGTTGGGGGGGTGTGAAGAGTAGTGAGGGGTTGGGGGTGGTGTGAAGACTAGTGAGGGGTTCGGGGGGGGTGTGAAGAGTAGTGAGGGGTTGGGGGGGTGTGAAGAGTAGTGACGGGTTGGGGGGTGTGTGTGAAGAGTAGTGAGGGGTTGGGGGTGGTGTGAAGACTAGTGAGGGGTTCGGGGGGGGGGGTGTGAAGAGTAGTGAGGGGTTGGGGGGGGGTGTGAAGAGTAGTGAGGGGTTGGGGTGTGTGTGTGAAGAGTAGTGACGGGTTGGGGTGTGTGTGTGTGAAGAGTAGTGACGGGTTGGGGTGTGTGTGTGAAGAGTAGTGACGGGTTGGGGTGTGTGTGTGAAGAGTAGTGACGGGTTGGGGTGTGTGTGTGAAGAGTAGTGAGGGGTTGGGGGGGTGTGTGAAGAGTAGTGAGGGGTTGGGGGTGTGTGAAGAGTAGTGAGGGGTTGGGGGTGTGTGAAGAGTAGTGAGGGGTTGGGGGGGTGTGAAGAGTAGTGAGGGGTTGGGGGGGGTGTGAAGAGTAGTGAGGGGTTGGGGGTGTGTGAAGAGTAGTGAGGGGTTGGGGGGGTGTGAAAAGTAGTGAGGGATTGGGGGGTGTGAAGAGTAGTGAGGGGTTGGGGGGTGTGAAGAGTAGTGAGGGGTTGGGGGGGTGTGAAGAGTAGTGACGGGTTGGGGGGGATAAATAGTGAGGGGTTGGGGGGTGTGAGAATAGTAGTGACGAGGGAGGGATGGAGGAGGAGGAGGAGTGATGAGGGAGGGAGGGATGGAGGAGGAGGAGGAGTGATGAGGAAGGGATGGAGGAGGAGGAGGAGTGATGAGGGAGGGATGGAGGAGGAGGAGGAGTGATGAGGGAGGGATGGAGGAGTAGGAGGAGGAGGAGTAGTGACGGGAGGGAGGAGGAGTAGGAGTGACTGGAGGGAGGGAGGGAGGGAGGAGGAGTAGGAGTGACTGGAGGGAGGGAGGGAGGGAGGGAGGAGGAGTAGGAGTGACTGGAGGGAGGGAGGGAGGGAGGGAGGAGGAGTAGGAGTGATTGGAGGGAGGGAGGGAGGAGGAGTAGGAGTGACTGGAGGGAGGGAGGGAGGAGGAGTAGGAGTGACTGGAGGGAGGGAGGAGGAGTAGGAGTGACTGGAGGGAGGGAGGGAGGGAGGGAGGGAGGAAGGAGGAGGAGTGAATGGAGGGAGGGAGGGAGGAAGGAAGGAGGAGGAGTGACGGGTGGGAGGGAGGAAGGAAGGAGGAGGAGTGACGGGTGGGAGGGAGGAAGGAAGGAGGAGTAAGGGGTGGGAGGGAGGAAGGAAGGAGGAGGAGTGACGGGTGGGAGGGAGGAAGGAAGGAGGAGGAGTGACGGGTGGGAGGGAGGAAGGAAGGAGGAGGAGTGACGGGTGGGAGGGAGGAAGGAAGGAGGAGGAGTGACGGGTGGGAGGGAGGAAGGAAGGAGGAGGAGTGACGGGTGGGAGGGAGGAAGGAAGGAAGGGAGTAGTAGTGACGGATGGGAGGGAGGAAGGAAGGAGGAGGAGTGACGGGTGGGAGGGAGGAAGGAAGGAAGGAGGAGTAGTGACGGGTGGGAGGGAGGAAGGAAGGAAGGAGTAGTAGTGACGGGTGGGAGGGAGGAAGGAAGGAGGAGGAGTGACGGGTGGGAGGGAGGAAGGAAGGAGGAGGAGTGACGGGTGGGAGGGAGGAAGGAAGGAAGGAAGGAGGAGGAGGAGTGACGGGTGGGAGGGAGGAAGGAAGGAGGAGGAGTGACGGGTGGGAGGGAGGAAGGAAGGAAGGAGGAGGAGTGACGGGTGGGAGGGAGGAAGGAAGGAAGGAGGAAGGAAGGAAGGAGGAGGAGTGACGGGTGGGAGGGAGGAAGGAAGGAAGGAGGAGGAGTGACGGGTGGGAGGGAGGAAGGAAGGAAGGAGGAGGAGTGACGGGTGGGAGGGAGGAAGGAAGGAAGGAGGAGGAGTGACGGGTGGGAGGGAGGAAGGAAGGAAGGAGGAGGAGTGACGGGTGGGAGGGAGGAAGGAAGGAACGGAGGAGGAGTGACGGGTGGGAGGGAGGAAGGAAGGAAGGAGGAGGAGTGACGGGTGGGAGGGAGGAAGGAAGGAAGGAGGAGGAGTGACGGGTGGGAGGGAGGAAGGAAGGAAGGAGGAGGAGTGACGGGTGGGAGGGAGGAAGGAAGGAAGGAGGAGGAGTGACGGGGGGGAGGGAGGAAGGAAGGAAGGAAGGAGGAGTGACGGGTGGGAGGGAGGAAGGAAGGAAGGAGGAGGAGTGACGGGTGGGAGGGAGGAAGGAAGGAAGGAGGAGGAGTGACGGGTGGGAGGGAGGGAGGAAGGAAGGAGGAGGAGTGACGGGTGGGAGGAGGAGGAGTGACGGGTGGGAGGAGGAGGAGTGACGGGTGGGAGGGAGGGAGGGAGGGAGGAGGAGTGACGGGTGGGAGGAGGAGGAGTGACGGGTGGAAGGGAAGGAGGGAGGAGGAGGAGGAGTGACGGGGGGTAGGAGGAGGAGGAGGAGTGATGGGTGGGAAGGACGGACGGAGGGAGGAGGACGACGAGAAGGGAGGGAGGGAGGGAGGAGGAGGACGAGGAGGGATGGGTTGGTGGGAAGGAGGGAGGAGGAGTAGGGGTGACGGGTGGGAGGGGCGGGACTGGGAGAAGAGCATTTTCTTTTGCACACGTACGCGTGCTCTCGCGCACGTATGCGCTCGCGTACGTGCGCACTCTTGCGTACGTGCGCACTCTTGCGTACGTGCACGCTCTCGCGTACGTGCGCGCTCTTGCTCTTTCTCTCGTTCTTGCTCTTTCTCTCGCTCTCGCTCTTTCTCTCGCTCTCGCTCTTTCTCTCGCTCTCGCTCTTTCTCTCGCTCTTTCTCTCGCTCTCGCTCTTTCTCTCGCTCTCGCTCTTTCTCTCGCTCTCGCTCTTTCTCTCGCTCTCGCTCTTCCTCGCTCTCGCTCTTCCTCGCTCTCGCTCCTTCCCTCGCTCTCGCTCGCTCTCGCTCTTCCCTCGCTCTCGCTCCTTCCCTCGCTCTCGCTCCTTCCCTCGCTCTCGCTCCTTCCCTCGCTCTCGCTCCTTCCTCTCGCTCTCTCGCTCCTTCCCTCTCGCTCTCTCGCTCCTTCCCTCTCGCTCTCTCGCTCCTTCCCTCTCGCTCTCTCGCTCCTTCCCTCTCGCTCTCTCGCTCCTTCCCTCTCGCTCTCTCGCTCCTTCCCTCTCGCTCTCTCGCTCCTTCCCTCTCGCTCTCTCGCTCCTTCCCTCTCGCTCTCTCGCTCCTTCCCTCTCGCTCTCTCGCTCCTTCCCTCTCGCTCTCTCGCTCCCTCTTCTCCCTCTCGCTCTCTCGCTCCTTCCCTCTCGCTCTCTCGCTCCTTCCCTCTCGCTCTCTCGCTCCTTCCCTCTCGCTCTCTCGCTCCTTCCCTCTCGCTCTCTCGCTCCTTCCCTCTCGCTCTCTCGCTCCTTCCCTCTCGCTCTCTCGCTCCTTCCCTCTCGCTCTCTCGCTCCTTCCCTCTCGCTCTCTCGCTCCTTCCCTCTCGCTCTCTCGCTCCTTCCCTCTCGCTCTCTCGCTCCTTCCCTCTCGCTCTCTCGCTCCTTCCCTCTCGCTCTCTCGCTCCTTCCCTCTCGCGCTCTCGCTCCTTCCCTCTCGCGCTCTCGCTCCTTCCCTCTCGCGCTCTCGCTCCTTCCCTCTCGCGCTCTCGCTCCTTCCCTCTCGCGCTCTCTCGCTCCTTCCCTCTCGCGCTCTCGCTCCTTCCCTCTCGCGCTCTCGCTCCTTCCCTCTCGCGCTCTCGCTCCTTCCCTCTCGCGCTCTCGCTCCTTCCCTCTCGCGCTCTCTCGCTCCTTCCCTCTCGCTCTCTCTCGCTCCTTCCCTCTCGCTCTCTCTCGCTCCTTCCCTCTCGCTCTCTCTCGCTCCTTCCCTCTCGCTCTCTCTCGCTCCTTCCCTCTCGCTCTCTCTCGCTCCTTCCCTCTCGCTCTCTCTCGCTCCTTCCCTCTCGCTCTCTCTCGCTCCTTCCCTCTCGCTCTCTCTCGCTCCTTCCCTCTCGCTCTCTCTCGCTCCTTCCCTCTCGCTCTCTCTCGCTCCTTCCCTCTCGCTCTCTCTCGCTCCTTCCCTCTCGCTCTCTCTCGCTCCTTCCCTCTCGCTCTCTCTCGCTCCTTCCCTCTCGCTCTCTCTCGCTCCTTCCCTCTCGCTCTCTCTCGCTCCTTCCCTCTCGCTCTCTCTCGCTCCTTCCCTCTCGCTCTCTCTCGCTCCTTCCCTCTCGCTCTCTCTCGCTCCTTCCCTCTCGCTCTCTCTCGCTCCTTCCCTCTCGCTCTCTCTCGCTCCTTCCCTCTCGCTCTCTCTCGCTCCTTCCCTCTCGCTCTCTCTCGCTCCTTCCCTCTCGCTCTCTCTCGCTCCTTCCCTCTCGCTCTCTCTCGCTCCTTCCCTCTCGCTCTCTCTCGCTCCTTCCCTCTCGCTCTCTCTCGCTCCTTCCCTCTCGCTCTCTCTCGCTCCTTCCCTCTCGCTCTCTCTCGCTCCTTCCCTCTCGCTCTCTCTCGCTCCTTCCCTCTCGCTCTCTCTCGCTCCTTCCCTCTCGCTCTCTCTCGCTCCTTCCCTCTCGCTCTCTCTCGCTCCTTCCCTCTCGCTCTCTCTCGCTCCTTCCCTCTCGCTCTCTCTCGCTCCTTCCCTCTCGCTCTCTCTCGCTCCTTCCCTCTCGCTCTCTCTCGCTCCTTCCCTCTCGCTCTCTCTCGCTCCTTCCCTCTCGCTCTCTCTCGCTCCTTCCCTCTCGCTCTCTCTCGCTCCTTCCCTCTCGCTCTCTCTCGCTCCTTCCCTCTCGCTCTCTCTCGCTCCTTCCCTCTCGCTCTCTCTCGCTCCTTCCCTCTCGCTCTCTCTCGCTCCTCCCTCTCGCTCTCTCTCGCTCCTTCCCTCTCGCTCTCTCTCGCTCCTTCCCTCTCGCTCTCTCTCGCTCCTTCCCTCTCGCTCTCTCTCGCTCCTTCCCTCTCGCTCTCTCTCGCTCCTTCCCTCTCGCTCTCTCTCGCTCCTTCCCTCTCGCTCTCTCTCGCTCCTTCCCGCTCTCTCTCTCGCTCCTTCCCTCTCTCGCTCTCTCTCGCTCCTTCCCTCTCGCTCTCTCTCGCTCCTTCCCTCTCGCTCTCTCTCGCTCCTTCCCTCTCGCTCTCTCTCGCTCCTTCCCTCTCGCTCTCTCTCGCTCCTTCCCTCTCGCTCTCTCTCGCTCCTTCCCTCTCGCTCTCTCTCGCTCCTTCCCTCTCGCTCTCTCTCGCTCCTTCCCTCTCGCTCTCTCTCGCTCCTTCCCTCTCGCTCTCTCTCGCTCTTTCTCTCGCTCTTTCTCTCGCTCTTTCTCTCGCTCTTTCTCTCGCTCTCTCCCCCCCCCCCCGGACCCCCTCCTGGCAAACCCTATCATGACTCAGTAGGAACAGGGACAAACCTGGCAGTGAGATTCGACAAGGGAATAGGGAAAATTCAATGTGAACAAATGAAGGAAATCTTCGGCCAAGTTTTCAATAAAATCAGGAAGGGGAGATGCAGGAAATGAATAATAAAGCAAGCATTCTGCGAAGGAGGAACGTTTGCAAATTAGCAAATTAAAACGCTCAAAGATGACAATACTGAGGCTGAGACTCGGATAATTATCCAGAGAGAGATTGGAAATGGTACATTGGAAGCGAATGATATTGTACATACAACATTTGCAGAATTGCTGAAAACGAACTTGGAAGCAATATCTACAGTGATGGACGTAGCCATGAAGTAAGCCTATTCTTGAATCTCGTCCTTAAGATTTCTTTACCAATCTTTGCCTTCCCTAAAACGATCCCTTCTCTCTCTCTCTCTCTCTGAGCTTCAGTCTGCCCTAGCCGTCTGCGGTTCTATAGCGGCACGCTCCGATGGTATTCATTGAGATGCTTCACCTTCTCCCTCCGTGCACGTCTCAGTATTTACCGAGTCTGTACAGTCGGGTCTGGGAGTTGTAGTCAGTCCCTGAGGACTGGCTCGAAGCCGTTGTCCTCCCTGTTTGAAAACCAGGGTCTCTCTGGTCATCCCCCCCCCCCCCCCAAGGACTTCCGCCCTATTGCCTTCTCGAGTTGTCTGCAAGCTCTTTGAACGTATGATTAACGTTCGTTGGATGTAGTTCATTGAACACTATCACCACCTCTCCCCTTCTCAATTTGGTTTTTGCAAGTGCTGCAGCACAACGGATGTTCTGGTGAACTTGGAGGTCTATATTCGTACTGCTTTTGCTGCGGAGATCCCTGTTGTTGCCGTCCTTTTTGACCTGGAAAAGGCTTACGACACTACCTGGCAGTATCATATTCTGTCCCAACTTCATTCTTTTGGCCTTCGTGGGAATCTCACTCTCTCCTGCTCCAAAGTTTCCTCTCTCGTCATTCCTTTTGTGTGAGGCTTGGTACCACCCTCTCTGCCCCTTTTAGGCAGTATGAAGGTGTGCCCCAGGGTAGTGTTCTGAGCACTACTCTTTTTTTCTAGTTGCACTCGACGGTCTTCTTTCCTCTCTTCCTTCTGGCGTCTTCTCTGCTTTCTATGTTGACAATCTTACCCTTTGCTGTCAGGGTGATGATTCGCCTCTCATTCAACGGCGGCATCAACTTGCGATTGATGCCGTGTCGTCTTGGGCCACTGATCAAGGCTTCAAGTTCTCTGCGTCTAAGACTTGTGTTATGACTTACATGGAAGCATGTCGTTTTTCGTCCCTCTTTGTTGCTTTATGGTCTTCCCTTGTGTACCGGGATTCCGCTAAGTCTTTGGGATTAATTTTTGACACTGTTTTGTCTTGGTCGCCCCATTTCTCTTACCTCCGAGTTGAATGCTCTAAGGCCTTTAACCTACTTAGGTTTTGTCCCATACATCTTGGGGAGCAGATAGACGCACGCTCCTCCATTTGCACTCCTATCTCGTCCTGTCTAAACTCGATTATGGTTGCCCTGCATACTCTTCTGCTTCTCCTTCTACTCTTCGCCGTCTTGATGCTTTGCACCATACTGGGTTGCGTCTCGGCTCTGGTGCCTTTTGTTCGACTCCCGTCCTCAGCTTGTATGTTGACACTGGCTTCCTCTCTCTCTCCAGGACCGCCTTGATCGCTACTGTCTTCACTATCTTGTGCGGTCCTTACATATTTCCTCTCGCCTCTGTCGTGCTTTAACTTTTACCCCTCCTATGGTTCATGTTCCTCTTCATCGCCTCCCTCTTTCTGTCCAGCTATATCGGTTAAAAGATTCTTTTTCTGTAAGTATTTCTGTTTCTCCTCGTATTGTTCCTTCCTTGCCCCCATGGAGAGTCCCCTCCCTTCCAAAGTTTTGTACATCCTTGACCTGCATCACTAAAGTTTTTACTCCTCCTACGGTTCTGAAATGGCTTTTCCTTGAGCACTTTGCTTTGCACTCCAACTCTGTTTCCATCTTCACCGATGGATCTAAGTCTGTGGACGGTGTAGGCTGCTACTGTCTTCCCTGACCGAACTTGTGTGTCGTCTCCCTTCGGAGGCTAGCGCCTTCACAGCAAAACTTTGGTATTCTCTATGCTCTGTCTCTTGCTTTCTCATTGTCAATCCTCCTTTGTGGTTGTAGTTGACTCTCGTAGTGCCCACATGGCTCTATGGTCCTTCAATCCTGTCCATCCGGTGGTCATCGAGATTCAAGATTGGCTGTTTCTTATTTCTAGTAAATTTAAGTCAGTAGAGTTTTGCTGGGTTCTCAGCCATATTTGTTTCTTTAAATGAACGTGTGGATGCTGCCGCTAGAGAAGCTATGCATTCATGTCCCATCTCCTGTAAAGGTATTCCTTATTCCTACTTTTATCCAGTTATTCATTCCTCCATGCTTGCCTATTGGCAGGGTTGTTGGTCTTCTGTAGTTGGTAACAAGCTGCATACTCTCAAACGTAGTGTCCCACCGTGGCCTTCCTCCTGCCACCGTAACCGGCGGTGGGAACCTGCTCTAGCAAGGTTGTGGATTGGCCATACACGCTTAACTCATGGTCACTTGATAGAGCGCCACCCTGCTCCTTATTGTCCAAATTTCGTTGTCCCTCTTACGGGCGTGCATATCCTTGTTGAATGTCCTGACCTCCAGGACGAGCGTGTCTTGCTTTCCGACCATTCCTCGTGGTAGCTTGGCCCTCAATAGAATTCTTGGTGAATCGGATACTTTTGATATCGTTCGCCTTGTGCGTTTCTGTTCCCGTATTGGCATCCTTGGGGATATTTAGCGCCCTCTGATTATTCCGCACATTTGATGGTGCTACACAACCTTCCCGGTTTGGTGCCATCTTTTGATAATTACTTATTTACTTTTATTTATATTTATACAAGAGTTTTTACATTCTTATACAGCCACTAGCATGCATAGCGTTTCGGGTAATCTTATGTTCCCCGGAATATGCCCCACCAAATCGTCTAATAACCAGGCACTCATTTTATTGTTGGGTAAACAGGCTACATTTAAGGATTGACCCCCAGTAAATCCTCCCCGGCCAGGATATGAACCTGGACAAAGCGCTCGCGAAACACCAGGCGAGTGTCTTACCACTTCACTATGGGAACTTCTTAATGGTTATTTCCTAGTGCGGTTAATATTTAATATTAAATATATTTTTGCAGGTTACTCACGCATGCATTGTTCACAAGCCTCATCCAGCTGTAAGGATGTGGGGAGCTTGCCCAAGATAAAGCAGGTATTACCCCATCTGGTTCCTGACGCAGAGGCCCTGGAACGGGGAAGCTGGTTGCTGTTGGGTCTCATGTTTTCCTCGTGATTTGCGTTCCTACCCCATTCAGGAACATTACTGCATATTTCTCAAAGGTGCAGTATAATATTTCCCACCGTCTATCTTTCAGAACACGCACAGCTTTCACAGTCAGGAGAGCGAAAAGTTCAAGCCTCTCAGCACCTACCAGGTTACAGTTCCAGGTAAGTTAAAACTTGTCTAATATATTTACACAGAATAAAAGCCCATAATTAAATTATCTCTGCATAAATAATTCTGATTATGTTGTAGGAAATTTTTTAAAAAATTTGAACAAGAAATTCTGAGAAGATGCTTCTATTTTTATTGCATCCAAAATATGTAATTTACATTCCACAGGAAGTACTAACTAACTCGGGTGGAGGATGGAAACAGGATTCCAGTGAATTTGTGGCCCCTATAAGCGGAGGATATTTCTTCACCTTCCACGCCATCGGCGGAGTGGTTAACGACTTCACGTAAATATGCCAGTACTGATCAGAAGTTGTAATGACATCTAACTCTACTGCTCTTATCTTGCATTCATTGGAATTGCTTAGGTGTAACAATCCTGTATATACACACATGGTTGACAACGACCTCTGTCTTTCACTGTCTAGGCTGGCGCTAATCAAGAACAGATTATACCAGGCGACTGCTTACGGAACTCTGATCCGCTACGAGCATGGGGCTAATTCTGTGTTTCTGGAGCTCGAACGTGGAGATACCGTGTATTTGGAGCTCCAGCAAGGCCGCATCTACGAGCAACGTTCTACTGAAACATACACCACCTTTTCCGGCTTCCTTCTCTTTGCCTATTAAGTCTCTCGTTCCACCCATAAATATATAAATAAATGTAAAAAATATTTTCTAGATTGTATTCAGTGTAACCTATTTGATAAAATATACAATTAACTTTTCTGATTGTTCATTGATAAAATGTTTAATTCAATCTCTATAAGAGAAGGCAGTCAGAGATCGGAGGCCCAGACTCTTTGGAACTAACCACATTAAACCTTCACTGGGTTAAGGTATCTTTTGAGAGCAAATGGTGTGCAGTGCGCTGTTCGATGCATCTTGCTCCACACATTCAGATTTATCTTGCTAATCGTCACGTCTTGAACTCCTTATAGGATCTTGTTCACCTTTTAGATAATTTTAACTATTGGCAAGCCATCTGGGTTACCAGTATCTGAGAGCGTCAAGTCCACTAAAGACTCACCATAGTCCGTGCTACTTTTGTTCTGAGTAGCTGAATCTTAAAACAGCAACAACTGGGAGCATCATTTTGAACCTTTTGGCAAAGAACCTCTTTTCTCCATTACCTTCCTTAATTGCAGCGAGGCAACTTCTGTAAATATGTGTACTTTCACCTCTTCCTGTATTTATTTTTCTGCTGCTGTTCCACTCATGTAGACCTGACGTGGAGTCACTGATGACCATAAGTGACCAGTTGCCACATCATCTTATCCCTCTTTTATTTCCGCCTTTCCCTTGCTGTCTGTTTTATCGGGCGGTCTTTAACTTTTTCACCTTTCTGATTTTCAGTTTGATCTGACACTGCCTTATTCTTTTTCACATCATCTTATTAGACGTTGCCCTTAGCTCTGCACCTCATTATGCCTCCTGCGGCAGCATAACTCGTCTCGTGTTGCTCATACCTTGCACCACAAGGAGGCTCCTGCTTCCGACATTTTAAAAGGTTTTGACCCTTCTGAATGCTTCGGCATTCGTTATTAAGTGTATTTTCCACTTAGAATTTCTCTCTGTTGCCTGATTCACAGAATGGTTTAGGTCTACCGACTGTGTTGGCTACACTAGTTTTCCCTGATCAAACCTTTATGTACCGCCTGCCTCCGAAGACTAGTATCTTCACTGAATATCTTGCACGATTTTCCGACGTCAACGTTCCTTTGTCACTGTGGTTGACTCTCCCAGAGACCTCCTGGCTCGGGAATAGTTTAATCCGTTGCATCCTGTGGTGACCGAAATGCAGTACTGGCCGTTTCTTATCTCCAGCAGATTTAAGACTGGGAACTCGGCAAACGTCGACAGCTATATAAGAATAACCTCAAATGAACCTGCGGACACCATTTCTCAGGAAGCCATTCATATTTGAACACTTCACCGAAAAGAGATTTTTTGTTCGAATTTCTGGCCGGTCATTTATTCTGCAAACTGCGACTGGTTGGTATGGTTGCAAGTTTGGCATTATAGGTAACAAACTCTGTACTCTTAACGTATCACCCTTGTCCTTTTATTGTACCACTATAATTGGTGGTGAGGAACTATTCTGGATAGATTCCATATCGCTGTCACACTTAACCCTTGGGCACTTAATGCAGTTCAGACTATAACGAACAGGAAGGTGTTCCATTGTCGTTTTTATTCTTGGTCCTACTTGTCGAGTGTCCCGATGTTGAGGACGATTCTGTCTTGCTTTCTTGGTGTCCCTCTGGGTCGCTTGTCCCTCACAGCATGCTTGTCCCTCACAGCATGCTTGGTGATTCTAATGTCTTTGATACCGCTTGAGATGGGTGCTTTTGCTCTCGTTCTGGCATCCTGAATCTTTATGCCTTTTATATATGCCGTGACAGACGGTGAGGGTGATCTCCCGGCTTATCTCCTTGAGATAATTGAGAGCAAAAACTGTTACCTTTCAAATTGATAAGTAAGTAAGTAATTATCAAAAGAAGGCACCAAACCGGGAAGGCTATGTAGCACCATCAAATACGCAAAATAATCAGAGGGCGCTAAATATCACCGAGGATGCCAATACGAGAACAAAAACGCATAAGGCGAACGATATCAAAAGTATCCGAGTCACCAAGAATTCTATCGAGGGACAGGTGACCGCGAGGGGCGGTCGGAAAGCAAGACACACGCTCGTCCTGGAAGTCAGGACATTCAAGAAGGACATGCACGACCGTAAGAGGGACAACGCAACTAGGACAATAAGGAGCAGGGCGGCGCTCCATCAAGTGACCATGGGTTAAGCGAGTATGGCCAATACGCAACCTCGCCAGAGCTGTTTCCCACCGCCGGTTACGGTGGAAGGAGGACGGCCACGAGGAAACACAACATTTAAGAGTACGTAGCTTGTTACCAGTAACAGACAACCAAGAAGCCTGCCAACGGGTAAGGACTGAGGAATGGATAACCGGGTAAAAGTCGGAATACGGAATGCCTTTACGAGAGATGGGACAAGAGCGGACAGCTTCCTTAGCGGCAGCATCCGCACGCTCATTTAAAGACACGCCAATATGGCTGGGAACCCAACAAAACTCAACCGACTTAAATTTACTGTGAACGAGAAACAGCCAATGCTGGATCTCGACAACTACTGGATGAACTGGATTAAAGCACCCGAGAGCCATGAGGGCACTACGAGAGTCAACAACAACCACAAAGGAAGACTGACAACGAGAAAGCAGGAGACGAAGAGCATAGAGAATAGCATAAAGTTCCGCTGTAAAGATGCTAGTCTCCGGAGGCAAGCGACACATATAAGTGCGATCAGGAAAAACAACAGAGTAGCCAACACCGTCCGCTGACTTAGACCCATCGGTGAAGACAGAAACGGAGCGGGAGTGAGAAGAAAAGTGCTCAAGGAAAAGGCGTTTTAGAACCGTAGGAGGGGTAAAAGCTTTAGTGATACGAGTCAAGGATGTACAAAACCGCGGAAGAGGGACCCTCCACGGGGGCAAAGAAGGAACAACACGAGGAGAAACACCAGAAATACGAACGGAAAGAGAATCCTGTAGGCGAGATAACCGGACAGAAAGAGGGAGGTGGTGAAGAGGAACAGGAACCGCAGGAGGGGTAAAAGTTAAAGCACGACAGAGGCGAGAGGAAGGATGTTGCAAGGACCGCGCAAGATAGCGAAGACAGTAGCGATCACGGCGGTCCTGGAGAGACAGGAAGCCAGTGTCAACATACAAGCTAAGGACGGGAGTCGAACGAAAGGCACCAGAACTGAGGCGCAACCCAGTATGGTGCAAAGCATCAAGACGGCGAAGAGTAGAAGGAGAAGCAGACGAGTAAGCAGGGCAACCATAATCGAGCTTAGACAGGACGAGAGAGGAATGTAAAGCAAGGAGAGTGCGCCTATCTGCCCCCCAAGAAGTATGGGACAAGACCCGAAGGAGGGTAAGGGCCTTAGAGCACTCAACACGGAGGTAAGAGATATGGGGAGACCAAGACAAACGAGTGTCAAGGAATAACCCCAAAAGCTTCGCGGAATCTTTGTATTCAAGGGGATGACCATAAAGTGACAAAGAGGGACGAAGAACAACCCGTTTCCGCGTAAAAGTCATGGCACAAGTCTTAGAAGTAGAGAACTTGAAGCCATGACCTGTGGCCCAAGACGACACGGCATCAATTGCAAGTTGAAGCCGGCGTTGAAGGAGAGGCGAATCATCACCCTGACAACAAAGGGTAAGATCATCGACATAGAGAGCGGAGAAGACACCAGAAGGAAGAGAGGAAAGAAGACCATTGAGGGCAACCAGAAAAAGAGTAGTGCTCAGAACACTACCCTGGGGCACACCTTCGTATTGCTGAAAAGAGGGAGACAGAGCGGTACCAAGGCGCACCCGAAAGGAACGACGAGAGAGGAAGCTGCGGAGAAAGAGAGGGAGATGACCACGAAGGCCAAAAGAATGAAGTTGAGATAGGATATGATAACGCCAAGTGGTGTCGTAAGCCTTTTCTAGGTCAAAAAGGACGGCAACAACGGAGGTCTTCGCAGCAAAAGCAGTACGAATATAGACCTCCAAGTTCACCAGGACATCTGTCGTGCTGCGGCACTTGCGGAAACCAAATTGAGAAGGGGAGAGGAGGTGATGGTGTTCCAGGAACCACATCAGACGAACGTTAACCATACGTTCAAAGAGTTTGCAGACACAACTTGTGAGAGCAATAGGGCGAAAGTCCTTAGGGGAAGTACCCAGAGACCCCGGTTTGCGAACAGGGAGGACAACGGCATCGAGCCAGTCCTCAGGGACTGACGACGACTCCCAGATCCGATTATACAGACTCAGTAAATACTGAGACGTGCTCGGAGGGAGATGGCGAAGCATCTCATAATGAATACCATCGGAGCCCGCCGCCGTAGAACCGCAGAGGGCCAGGGCAGAACGAAGTTCAGAGAGAGAGAAGGGATCATTATAGGGAAGCTGAAGATGAGTGCAGAAATCTAAAGGACGAGACTCAAGGACAGGTTTACGAAGAAGGAAAGATTGGGGAAGATGAAGACCAGAGCTAACAGAAGAAAAGTGGGAACCCAGTTCGGAAGCGACCTGCAACGGGTCCGCCACAAGAGTATCATGGAGGTGAAGGACCGGTGAAACATCGGGAACGAACTTACCCGCTATCTTGCGGATACGCTTCCAGATCTGGGCCAGAGGGGTTTCGGACGTAATTGTCGAGACATAAGATGCCCAACATTCACGTTTAGCCGTACGGATGGCCCTACGGGCCACCGCACTTGCTTTCCGAAAGAAAAGAAAAGAATCGGTCGTCTGCCTACGGCGGTGCTTCTTCCAGGCTGCACGCTTACAGCGGACAGCCCGAGCACAGTCCGCATTCCACCAGGGAACGCACTTCCGTGGACCCCGAGAGGAAGAGCGAGGAATAGAGCGGAGGGCAGCGTCGAAGACAGTGTCATGAAAAAGGAGGAGAGCGCGAGAGAGGGGCAGAAGGGAGAGGTCAGAGAGAGTAGCACTGAGGGAAAATAGGGTCCAGTCCGCCTTAGCAAACTGCCACCTAGGGAAAGAGAGGGAAGGGCGAAAAGAGAAAAAGGAAACAAGGATGGGGAAATGATCACTTCCATGGAGGTCATCAAGAACCTGCCACGTGAAATCTAA